AAACTCAACTTATAATATTTCCACATAAGCCTAGAGCTTCGTTTTTGAAACCTAGTAGTAGCCACATAGTCACTATGAACGGAGTTCCAATTTCCTGGTCAAACCAAGTGAAATATCTTGGATTAATACTTGACCAAAAATTAACTTTTAAAGATCACATTGAGGGCATTCAAGCCAAATGTAACAAATATATAAAATGTTTGTATCCTCTTATAAACAGGAAATCTAAACTTTGCCTGACGAATAAACTTCTAATATTTAAACAAGTTTTTAGACCGGCCATGCTTTACGCTGTGCCAATATGGTCGTGTTGTTGCACTACCAGGAAAAAAGCACTTCAAAGGATTCAGTACAAAGTTCTGAAAATGACTTTGAAGTTGCCTCCCTGGTACAGCACTACCGAAGTACATAGAATTTCGAATGTTGAGACTTTAGAACAAATGTCCAACAAAATAATTAATAATTTCAGGCAAAAATCGTTGCAATCCTCAATTGCAACGATTAATTCCCTTTATACTTAGATAAGATTTAGTTTTAGTTTTTAGTTTAAAGATATCAATTGTTATACTGACATGCAGGTTTAAAAAACCTGTTTAAAATACTGAATTGCCAAGACAGGAACAATGTAAAAATACTTAGATATATATCATAACAATTAAGGCTGGTAAGTTTCTGTAGTAACTGAGATGAGTGAAAAGAACATAATTTTGAGTAATTTTTTGGTTCCGTGTAAAATTATCTGCCATCTTGTCGGGGACTTGGTGGAAACGCTCCTACACTGAAACAAAATCCATTGTCAAAAATACTATATTGCTGGTTTAAATTAAATACCCTCATCAATATATTTTTGCGATAGTAGGCTCTGCATTTGAACAAGTTTGACGTGCATTTTCTCCGCTGTTTATTTGACGAGTAAAAAATAGGAAAATATATTTCGTCATATTTTTATAACAGTATAAAAAACCAACCATCACACCGGTCCAGAAGTCGATAACAAAGAGTTCAAGCAAAGAGTCAAGAAGGAGCTCCGAAAATAAACTCCCCCACTGAACCCCCGACGTTCTTTCGTTTGCGACGACGTCACGGAGAAGTGATCCACAAGTGGTGATCCTGGAGACTCCTTTAATCACAGATACAGACAGGAAATTCCCCAGATTAAAAGAAATCACCATGGATCATGGATTCAAGGAGAGGTAACATGTTATTTCAGTTGAAAAGTATCATCAGTACGATGTGGAGGAAACGGTCAAGGGTGGATATCATTCTGATTCAAGCAAGAAAGATGGACCAGCAGCGCCATGCAATTTCATCCGGTTGACATTGCTCATGGATTCATTTGGTGAGTTCGTTCCTATTAATTAATTCACTTGTGATGATGATCGTCAACAGCGTTGAACAGCCAGAAACAGTTGCCGAATTAGCTTTCCATTTATAAGAGCTTTTCATTTATTTGATTTAAATAGTTGTAAATTTAACTGCAAACACATAGACAAACAAATATAATTTGATGTTCTGTTTATAGTCACCTGTGTACGCTACAATCAGCATTAGTTTGCTAAAGCGATCCATGCTGCAAACCTTTCCCCACATTCAATATCCCAGTAATTTTTCGTGAAAGCGCAGAGGACTTCTAGGTTTCCTTCACAGCGAGTGTCATGTCAACACATTCCTTCCCATTCCCTATTTGACCTGCATTCGGACACGGCCGGCGCTTGTATTGCTAAGTATTAGATCTGATGTTTTTACACATTGCGGATGAATGTTAGTCCCAAACATAATCTGTTGGTTCTTTGTGTAAATGCAGCTGATCTGGCGATAACAGAGCAGCAGCCATGGGCGGTTAATCATGCTCATGCAATAAGTCGCTTACCCAGTGCTTCCAAATCAGGTTGGCTTGGATTAGAGATAATTGCCATCATTGCCACAGCACGGTGACGCCATTATTGTGGGTTCAGAGTGGATTGACACTATTGAATGACCCCAGAAAGAAGTGATTCTGCTAGCGTAATAATCAATTTCCAGTTCGACATGGTCAAATAACCCCGTATCAAAGGAATTCAGAAGTATATTATTTTGTATGGATCCCTAGGGACACATCGGAGTAAATGAAAACGAGGAAACAGCATATTTTGCAGCCTTTGGCAGACTAGCAAGCTGCTACACCTGGGAGGTCCCTGCCCTGGATCTACACCATTGGCTCGTGACCACAATATTAAACTGCTGAAAATGCGGAATGCTGACAGTCAGGAAATCATTTCTTCCGGAGGATTAAGGGGGATACCAGGAGATGGGAAGTCCCACCATTGAGGAGGATTGGTGACATAGCCTGATCGCAAGGGCGTAGACAAGTTCCACATGGCCAGATGTCAACAGGCGCTATTAAGTCGAATGTAACTAGGCCCAAGGGGTCAAATGAGTAATTCAACTGATTTTTAAATTTGTGTCAAACTGCATAAGTGATTTTCAAATTTGCATGGTGAAGAGCATATTCCAAATTGAATTGATAATAGTGACAAGAATCGGGTAGTGACCACCATGAATTTCTATATTGTATATTTCAAATAAAAAATATTGTTAATGTTCCTATATTTTTTAATAATCCTTTCCCCTTTGTCCTTCTTCTTTTCCTTTCCCTTTTCTCTTTTCAGAATTCGAATAATGGCGCAATAGTCATAAGTCATAAAAAGCTAGGATAAGAGTTAGTGCTCATACCCCAACCGTCAGAAGAAAATGGAGCAACACTTAACCTTTCTAGCTTTGATGCTTCCAACGACCAACCAATCATATAATTACCAAAATCGGAACATACGGTACGAGATGTCCACGTTTCATCCATTTATTGGATTCTGAAGCATCGTGTTTAAATCTTCTAATTTAAACAGGCCCGATGTTTTTTGAATCATCTTGCCCCTTAAATGCTGCACAGTAGGCCTGGCCGTTTTGAAATGTGTGACGCATCTTCGATGTGAGACATATATCAAATAGACAAGAAAAATGATGTAGGTATATATATATATATATCATATTCCAGGATGCTTTCAAGAGCTGACTGTGTTGATGTTAGATTAGATTAGATTAGAATACCCTCACCAATATATTTTTGCAGAAAATTATTTCATTTAATATTACTATTATTTCTATCAAAATTACTATGCATTTTGAACAAGCATAGTAGTTTTGCCAGAATCAGTAAATTTGTTAACATTCATTGTCAACTATACTGAATTCATAGTAGATTTAACAGTAATAAGCGTGGTTATATTGAAAATAAGTGTTTTCTGCAAAATAGTATTCCAAACTATGGTCCTTGTTTCAGTGTATAGTTGCGGTACGTTAGAAGCGTTAGGTTCCTATAGTTGTGCATGGAGACTCAACTATAGGAGCGTGTACGCTACATGCAGAAGCCGATGTGAAAATTGTGTGGTGTGACACAAAATATCTGCTGTGAGTCTAATTAGGGCGAACACCCGCAATACAGCTTTTGTAAACAATGCATTTCATCGTCGATTCGGCGTAACTGGAAGTTTGCCCACGCATTCTAATACTACCATCAGATAGGGGAAAATTTTCCTTTTCTGATGGTAGTGTTAGTATGCGTGGACGAGCTACCAGTTACGCCAAATCGCTGATGAAATGCGTTGTTTACAAAAACTGATACGTCCCTTCGAAAAAGTTATCCAGATTTATATTCCTTACATCCAGATATATTAGGGACTGTCCATATACTAATAAATACATTTTGATTTTTCTACAAATATTGGAATAAGATATCAAAAATCGAAAAACAAAACATCAAGGCAAAAATAGGGCTCAGAAAACCACAGAAATCTAATATTTATTTAGTTGGATTTAATATATCTGTTTTTTTTTTAATTTTTAGAAAAATCAAAACGCGTCACATTATATTCATGGGAAGTCTACGATTCCGAATAATAATTAATTAATTTATCTTTATTAGGGAGGCTTTCAGCCTTGGGCTGGTTCACCTTCATTCCGAATAATACTGGCTCGTTATGATTTTTATAAAAAAATATATCAAACAACTAAATAGTGCTAATGCTAAAAAAAAATCGCGTTTGTTAGATGGAGCGTGCGACAACCACAACAAATCATTTAACATGGTGTAGGTAGCATAACGCTGACATTTCAATATTATTATTATTATTTAGCTTTATTAAGGAGGCTTTCAGCCTTGGGCTGGTTCGCCTCCAACTTTCAATATTAGCGATTTCGTCCACTCTGATTCAAGCATCTCTTCTTTTGTACCATGCTTTCGTCCTAATGAAGTCATTATTAAATCGTCAATGAATGACACTTCTGTCGATTCGATGGGGTGTCAAAATTGACGAATGAATATTGACTTCCAGTCGGTCTCGTTTGCCATCGATCAGAGGTACCCGTACATTCATCAATTCAACTGCAAACGAAACGTTTACCAGTGTGAATTCATCGAATGCACCACCGAGAGGACTGCTATTTTCCGGTGCCAATTAAAGTTCCACAATTTGTAACGCATGGAATCATGGCTCCATTCCGTCTGCAGTGTGGTTTTTCTTTGCTATGTGCTAGCCGAAATCAGCAGCTCATTCAACACCAGCGACGACGACGACATCGACGGCATACCAGACGCAACAAGTTATTGCCATCACACCAAATCAACCACAAAATGTGAATTATCGAACAGTCAGAGTTGGTAAATATGTGCTCCAGTCATATTTGCATACCAAACCCAGTTGTTGTCACTCACACGCTTTCGGCTTGCTCCCCGACTTTTCCTCCTTGCACGCAAACGCGGTGTCACACCCGGAAGGCAGTACCAGGGAAGCGATCGATTCATCAATTTGCATCGTATCAATATGCAAATTAGTCAGCGTGCCAATTTTTCGGTTTATAGCTCCGTTTTACATCTTCGGCCCGGTACCGGCGGCGAAACTCGTACCACTTTTGCTGGCTTCTTCTCTCTACGTATCCTAGGGAGTAAAACGGAATCAACAACTTACCAACCACATGAAGATAACCAAATTGGGTCTTGGCCGTAACCGTATTGATCTGGCACATGTAGCGTCCTTTGTCCTCTTCCTGTACGTTGGAAATATGCAGAAACCAGGTTTTGTGTTTGTCGTGCTTGTCGTGCGTAACGCTGATCCGGGGATTCCGGGTGATTACGTGGTTGTGCACGGTCAAGATGGCCGACTGCTCAAAGTGCATCCAGGCGACCTGAAATGATGAATCGAAAGAAGCATTTTCGGGGATTAGAGAATAATATTTGCTAACTGCAAATTAAAAACTGTAAAAGATTAGTTGGCTGTTGTTCGACATGTTTGCCGATGATGATTGGAAAATTGGAGATGCATATTTTAGAAACAGAAGCAAAAATATGATGAAGCATTAAGGTGAAAAGTCCACAAATGGCCGTTATGAGGATATCTATAACTCCAACTTTGGAACTCCGTGTTTGCTGTTGTTGTATTTTTTTTTTGTTGATTAATCATTTATTTGATAAGACTCAATCGAATTAACTTTTCAGAGCCAAGGGTTATTGTTCACTATGCAATAAATCTTAAAACTATAGTCAAAAGGTTTAACACAATAAACACTTTATCTTCCGCTATCCAATAAGCCTCCTCCATCAGAACGAGAGCCACTTCCAGTGGTTTCATTGTATGAAAGTATCATCAACGGGGGGCAGAGCGCTTCCATTGCAGCAATGGATGCAAAACGTGGTCAGCACTCACACACTCATCACGAGACGGTTGCTTTCCAAAGTCGACGACGCATCGACCGAAAGAACTGCTGATGAATAACAATGAGGAGGACCACACAAATGGTTGCTGCCAAGTAAACACACGATCGCGTGACACACATCGAGAGTGGCCTACTTCTGTCGACAGCCGAGTGAACACTGTGGTACACAGATAAAAATTCTGAATTTTAATTGTGATGTAAACATTCATTCACGTAAACTTAAATTTAATTTCACGCAACCGAGCAACTTGTAAACAATATTGTTTACAAAGATGGGCTTTTGTATACAATATTTGCTACATTGCATGGAATGTGCCAGAACATTACATGATATATAATGTAAACTTATATGATATATGACGCTCCATTTATGTGCATCATATTGAACAGAAATTTACATTACTTTTCGAACTGTGTATGTTTTGTGAGAGTTGAAATTTGTGGTCCTGAAATTTCAAGGTAATAATGCGATCAATCATAAACAAGTTGTGAAACGTATTTAGGCGTCAACTGCAACGGAGAGAAGCCATTATGCAGGCTCGGGTAGTCTACGAGGACTTCACGGAATAAATTTCATCACGGTTCACTGACATTAATAGTTTATTAATGAATCCGCTGTTTATTCTACTAACTAACATGAAATTAGAGCTATTTATACGAACCATGCCTCAGAAAACCGTGGTGACCGCACAGGATCACGAAAACCGCGGTTTACAAAACTGCGCGCACAGCAAAAAATAAGGAATATTACATGACATGTAAACCAAAACCATTTTAAAATTACATCGCATTAAACTATGTTTTAATTAAGTTTTACATTAAAAATCATACACATAATAAAAACATGATAAAACTCATAAAATTACACGTTTTTCTAATAATTTTCTCTTGCAGTTTAATATCACCACGTGATGTAAAAACTTATAGAACAACATCGGATTTTCAACGATAAAACCTATAAATTTACAAGGACGTGCATACGCGCGTCCACAAATAGAAAATGAATGACAGACAAAATATTGATTAGAGCGGTTTTATACAGAGAGCACTTTAAGTTCGTGCAGAAAATGAAAAATTTGGATGTAGAAAAATAGAAAAATAGAAAAACATTCAAATATGCGCTCGTGGTTCCTTTTTTCTCTCTGATCGTTTTGATGCAGCAGTGGAAGTGTAGGGTACACACTTAGAAAAAATCATGTAAATTTAGGTACTCTGAGAGTGACACATTCGAGCGTCAATTTTGACATAAATTTGAGTCATAACAGACGCGAAATATAGCTCAATCAAACGTTCTTTTCGTCGAGCAACGAACTTTTCAGTCTCGGGACACTTAATTTTACATGACATGTTTGTTTACGTCTCATCTTCAAAGATGGATTCCGTCACGTGTAAAATAAGTTATTTCTAAGTGTGTAATTTTTATTCCTAAGCTCAGTCGTTTTCAAGTTAAAGCAATTTAAAAATAATAATTATGAATTTTAAACATTTTAGACTACAGTGGGGGAAATTCGTTTAAACGCAATGTCATTTTTGCGTTTATTTTCAACACAAAAGATCGAGACAAAAAATCAAATATAGTTTGTCATAGCCCATCAGAAGTCTCGTATTTGAGAACACAATTTGATTGGAAGTTCATAATGACTTTTGAAAAAATCCCAAAAAAGGTGATTTTGGGGGGGAAATTCGTTTAAACGCACTTTTAGTTTTATTAATCAAATCGAGTTCACAGTTCAAAAATCAACAATAAACAATAGTTAATACTTCATTTGCTTTCCGTTTTTCTGAATAGTTTCGAAAATTCTGTTCGGCATTGATTTCACCAGCTTCTGCAGAGTTGTATCAGGTATCAAGCTCCAGGCTTCTCTTACGGCTGACTCAAGTTCACGAACTGTTTTAAACTGCCTTCCGCCTTTGTAAACCTGTCGTGCCAGGATGCCCCACAAGTTCTCGATAGGATTTAGATCCGGACTACGAGCTGGCCAATCCAAAAGACTGATGTCTCGTTCAGAAAACCATTTCAAAGATTGCTTGCTGACATGAATTGCTGCATTATCCTGTTGAAATACGAAATTTTCCGGCATAACGTCTTCAGTAAACGGGATCAAAACATCTTCCAGAAGCTCCAAGTACTTTCCCGAATTCATCCTGGTTGAAATGGTGGCAATAGGGGTCTTTCCATGGATCGAAAAAGCGGCCCAACACATTAGAGTACCACCTCCAAAGTTCCTGCTCAACTTAACCTGCGGAGATTTCCTCAAATCGTGCCAATAATATGCGGTGCAGTCTGGGCCGTCCAAATTGAATTTCTTCTCGTCAGAAAAAATAACATTGTCCCATTCCGTAGTCCAAGACATGTATTTTTTAGCGAAATTCAATCTGGCGCTAATGTGGGCCGGTTGAAGATTGGGTTTTTTTGCTTTTTTGGTGTACTTTAAGTGGCCACTTCCATGTAGAATCTGCCGTACACGCCTCTTAGAAATGGAAAGCCCCATTTCTTGCTTGATTTGCGCAGCAGAGAAGTTTCCAGAGTCTCCCATTTGTATGATTTGGTTTCGGACACGGTTGGTGATCTTCGAATTTCCCTTTGTTTTCTATTTTACGCCATACGTCTTGCCTTTTTTCAGCAGGTTCCTGATTGCTGCTTCCGATCTGTGGATCACACGTGCAATTTTGCGATTGCTCTCACCGCGACTTTTGAGTTCTCGAACCAGTATTTGCTCCGACTGGCTTAAATACTTTCCTTTACCCATTTTGCCGAAAACAAGCAACAACTACCACGCAACGCAAATTTAAACTCGTGTTAATGGCGAACGAGGGCTATACAGTGTAAATATGACAGATGCGCAAGATAACAGGAGCATAGGTACGCTCAATGCGGTTTTACGTTAGTGTGCGTTTAAACGAATTTCCCCCCCAAAATCACCTTTTTTGGGATTTTTTCAAAAGTCATTATGAACTTCCAATCAAATTGTGTTCTCAAATACGAGACTTCTGATGGGCTATGACAAACTATATTTGATTTTTTGTCTCGATCTTTTGTGTTGAAAATAAACGCAAAAATGACATTGCGTTTAAACGAATTTCCCCCACTGTATTTCCAAATGTAAGTCATGATGTCTAGCAACAGAATGTATTTTCCATGATTGTATATTAAACAACAAATAATTCATTATCAGATATGTCAGACTTGCCCCGTTTCTATCTAGGCGTAGCGGTAGAGAAACGAGTTTTTAAGTTAATACTCTCAGATATACCAAGCACCGCACACTATCCCTTCAACGTCACTATGTCAGGATCAATCACGCATACAAATGACTTGCGAAACGGTGCTTTCTTCAGTATCGACGTGGATTGCAGAAACAGCTCAAGGCACGTCCCAAGCAGTTTTGGAAGTTTGTCAACGAACAACGTCATGAAGCTGGTCTGCCGTCGTCTATGACACTTAATGGTAACGTGGCCTCATCTCCGCAAGATATCTGTCAGCTGTTCTCTGAAAAATTTGCTAGTGTCTTCACGGACGAGAGACTGAGTGACGACCATGCCCGACTGGCTGCCAGTTACGTACCACTTTCTGGCCAAACCATGAGCAGAATTGACATCAATCCCGAGATGTTTTTCAGGGCTTCCTCGAAACTCAAGTCGTCGTACAATCCTCTGATGGAATTCCATCTGCGTTCCTCAAAAAGCACTTGGACAGTTTGTTGTCTCCACTGCTGCACGTTTTTCAACGGTTTGTGGACGTCGGCGTTTTAACTTCCAGTTGGAAGCTAGCGCACATGTTTCCAGTACATAAAAAAGGCAACAAACAGGACGTTGGCAACTACCGTGCCATTACTTCGCTTAGCGCTGTTGCTAAATTGTTCGAACTCGTTGTTATGGAACCGTTACTCGCTCACTGTAAGCCGTATATTAGTATCGACCAGCATGGTTTCATGGCTGGTCGCTCCACTGCCACTAACTTGCTGTGCCTTACTTCCTACATCTCTAACAGTATGTCGGATCGTGCTCAGACGGATGTCATTTATACTGACTTATCTGCTGCCTTCGATAAATTGAATCACCGCATATCAATCGCTAAACTGGACAGGCTTGGTATCCACAGCTGCCTTTTGCAATGGTTTCAGTCGTACCTCACCGATCGCTATCTTACTGTTGTCATTGGTGATCACCAGTCCCGTACGTTCGCTGCCACATCCGGCATACCTCAGGGTAGTCACCTGGGACCGCTGATTTTCCTGATTTATTTCAACGACGTGAATCTGGTAATTGAGGGACCACGATTATCTTACGCAGATGACCTTAAACTCTACCTCCGAATTCACTCAATTGAAGACTGTTGCTCCCTTCAACGTCAGCTGAATGCTTTTGCTGATTGGTGTATTCTGAATCGTATTAAGGTTAACCCGTCCAAATGCTCGGTTATCTCTTTTTCGCACAAGAAAGAGACTATTTTGTTCAAGTATGTTTTGTTA